ACACACACGGATACGCCACTGTTTTCACACATGGGGAAGTCAGCGGGAGTTTCTCGGTCACATGACGGTTGTATGGAATGACTTTTTATAGCAGCTAGAATGTAACAGGAACTAACTTGTGGACATATAACATTAAACGTGACGATAAACGGATAGAACGTACATCCATCCATGCATTTTCCATACCGCTTATCCTACAACCTGGAGACTATCCTGGACAGGGTGCCGAACCATCACAGGGAACAATCACACACCACGGACAATTTTGGAAATGCCAATCAGACTACGGTGCATGTCTTTGGGCTGGGGGAGGAAACCGGAGAACCCGGAGGAAACCCCCGCAGCACGGGGAGAACGCAGGATTCGAGCCCCTCTGAGGCAGACGTGCTGACCACTACGCCACGGTTCCCCCGTAGAGGCTAGGTTTCTTTAATCATTTAAATAATGTCGTACTCGCGACTAAAAGACTTTGGGACATGCTTTTATCGTAACTTTTTGGTGTGGTCACAGTAAGTCCTCCTCACGTCGGGCTGCACTACACCACGACATGGCTGACTGTTTTCCGAGAACAGCACGCCTTCACGGGTTTGATTCCGTACACAAAGGTTTAGATATTGTGCGTAAAAACATATGATCAATAAGTGTGATTTAAATAAGGAGTGAATTAATCATTGTTATGATTTTAGTCTTTAGCCACCAGCACTAGAAGCACGCGTGTGTGTGTGTGTGTGTGTGTGTGTGTGTAATCCTCTGCTCAGCTCTTGATTGGGATATTGATTGAAGGAAGCTGAAGTCTTTGATGCGTGTAAAACACTCTCTCGACCCCCTCACTCACATGTCCAATTACACCAGCTGCCAACACACTTTTAATTCCCTCTTACACTCTCTCTCTCTCTCTCTCTCTCCCTCTGAGTCTCTCTCTCTCTCTATATATCTCTCTCTCTCTCCCTCTGAGTCTCTCTCTCTCTCTCTCTCTCTCCCTCTGAGTCTCTCTCTCTCTCTATATATATCTCTCTCTCTCTCCCTCTGAGTCTCTCTCTCTCTATATATATATCTCTCTCTCTCTCCCTCTGAGTCTCTCTCTCTCTCTCTCTCTCTCTCCCTCTGAGTCTCTCTCTCTCTATATATATATCTCTCCTCTCTCCTCTGAGTTCTCTCTATATATATATATCTCTCTCTCTCCCTCTGAGTCTCTCTCTCTATATATATCTCTCTCTCCCTCTGAGTCTCTCTCTCTCTACTATATATATCTCTCTCTCTCCCTCTGAGTCTCTCTCTCTCTATATATATATCTCTCTCTCTCCCTCTGAGTCTCTCTCTCTCTCTCCCCTGAGTCTCTCTCTCTCTCTCTCTCCCTCTGAGTCTCTCTCTCTCTCTCTCTCTCTCTCTCCCTCTGGGTCTCTCTCTCTCTCTCTCTCTCTCTCTCTCTCTCTCTCTGAGTCTCTCTCTCTCTCTCTCTCTCTCCCTCTGAGTCTCTCTATCTCTCTCTCTCTCTCTCCCTCTGAGGTCTCTCTCTATCTCTCTCTCTCTCTCTCCCTCTGAGTCTCTCTCACTCTGTATCTGTCTCTCTCTCTTTCTCTGTCTCTCTCTCACTCTGTGTCTCTATCTCTCTGTCTCTTTCTCTCTCTCTCTCTCTCTCTCTCTCTCTCTCTCTCTCTCTCTTTCCATACTGCTGTACACTGCTACACCATTAAAGTCTTGGTGTTGCTGTATATATATATATTGTGTGTGTGTGTGTGTGTGTGTTCGTTCAGGGCTTTATGAATACTGTACTGTAATTACACTACTACACAACGTGATCATCATATGCTTTGCTTTTTGAGTGAAAGTGCTCGGGATTGAGTCGGGGATTACACAGTTAATGGATTTTTGTACTCAATTTTACAATTTTCCAAAAAAAAAACGTAAAATTTTCCAGTTGTACTCAATGATTACTCAATTAATGGGTCTTGTATGGTAACATTACTTGTATTGTTCTCTGCTTAATACATCGCTTTGCTTGTATTTTTGGATAAAAGCGCCTGCTAAGTGAATAAATGTAAAAGTAAATGTACACATGGCGCACGGTGGCTTTGGTGGTTCGCCTCACACCTCCAGGGTCGGGCGTTCGATGTGTGTGCGGAGTTTGCATGTTCTCCCCGTCCTGCAGGGGTTTCCTCCGGGTACTCCGGTTTTCTCCCCCAGTCCATAGACATGCATGGTAGGCTGATTGGCGTGTCTAAAGTGTCTGTAGTGTATGAATGGGTGTGTGAGTGTGTTTGTGATTGTGCCCTGTGATGGACTGGCACCCTGTCCAGGGTGTACCCCACCTTGTGCCCGATGCTCCCCGTGACCCTGAAAAGGAGTAGGCGGTAGAAGATGGATGGATGTAAATGTACACAGAGATAGTATTCCTTAGCTGCTGTGAGTCGCGTTGAGAATTGTGGCACTGTACCTCACAAAAATTTCCGATCAGAGCCGTCGGGTTACAGTCTGGTGAATCTTACGTCCTTCCCACTCAACACGGCTTTGTCTTTTAAGTTAGGTGACGCTAAACAGCTGATAGCATGATGGTAGGATGGAGCACAGCCCACGTCACGAAATATTCTTCCACGGGTAGCGGGGAATTTAATTCTGAGAGCTTGCAATTCCAAAATCGTCCATCCACCAGCTTTAAAACCATTGTTTAGTGTATGTTCACAGCACAGCTTCTTAGTTCATAAATGATCAGTATTTAGTCTCTATTTTTATTGTATCACAGTTTGTGATTTAGCGGTTAAGGGGCATGGGAACAGAAATTTAATGCTGCTGCAGAAATATTTTATTTTCCTAGAGAGAGAGTGAGAGAGAGAATGAGAGAGAGAGAGTTAGAGAGAGAGAAAGAGAGAGCAAGACATAGAGAGAGAGAGAGAGAAAGAGAGAGTTAGAGAGAGAGAGCGAGAGAGAATGAGAGAGAGTTAAAGTGAGAGCGAGAGAGACAGAGAGCGCAAGACAGAGAGCGAGAGAGAGCAAGACATAGAGACAGAGTGAGTGAGAGAGAATGAGAGAGAGAGAAAGAGAGCAAGACATATACAGAGCGAGAGAGAGAATGAGAGAGTAAGAGAGAGATAGTTAAAGTGAGAGCGAGAGAGAGAGAGAGCGCAAGACAGAGAGCGAGAGAGAGAGAGAGCAAGACATAGAGAGAGAGTGAGTGAGAGAGAGCGAGATGGCGCGGGAGAGCGAGAGACAGCACTGTAGTGTTGGTTATTTCTGACCCCTGCTGGTTAATGTATGCAGATCCTCTAACTCAGCTGCTGATCAGTTATGGCTGGAATTTTAAACTATAATCAAGCCCTATCATTATTCCATGATCTTTAACTGGTGTGTGTTTCATTCTGTACAGGTTTTATATCGAGAGTATCTCTTACTTGAAGGACAACGCCACCATCGAGCTGTTCTTCCTCAACGCTAAGTCCTGCATTTATAAGGTGAATCCCTGGACTGTATGTTTACAAGGAAACTGCACATCTTTTTTTTATATATAGAATTTTAAACTAAATTCTCACTTTATTTTTCACTCAGGTATTTTTCATTCAGGGATTAAAATAGCTCGTCTAGGTGTTTAAGTTTGGTACCGTGTCCTGCAGTGCGACTGTTCCACCACTAGAGGGTCGTGTTTGAGCCCCAGTGTAAATACAGAAAGAGATTCAGGATCACGTGTTCTTGAACGCATGAAATGCAGAGATTTGCGGTCCCGTTTGGGCTCCGTACACGACCCCGAGGACCTGCTATTGCTGTTTCGATACGACGCGGTCGTAACGCGTAACATACGGGAAATGCAATCGCAACCAGACTCTGCGTGTCCGTTTGAGACTTGAGCTAGACAGTGTACGTTCACGAACATGTACGTTCATCTCAACGAAAACGCGGACGGTGATTCGCTTTTTCGTTCGCGTTATGCGTCCACAATTGGGAAACGCATTCGCAAGTACGGTTCGCGATCGCTTTTGAAAATTGTCCGCAGAACACAACCGTAGGAGCGGCTTTCCTCGAGCCTTTCTTTCTTCCGTGAGAGACGGATTAGGTTTCCTACACTTTGCGTCAGACTAATTGGATTCATTCTCGGAGGAATCCTATTATACGCTGGATTAATCCTGTGTTACGAACTTCCGCTTTTAATTAAAACATAAACAACTGCAACATTGCTGAGCTTAATTCCAAGCTCGTTATTCATAACCTTACGGACGTGTTAATTCATTCTTATTATTCTTGTTTACTTATTTGTGCCTGTATTTCATTTCGGAATGATATTATAAGCATGTATTATGTAATAAAGTGCAGTCGAAACATTCTGTTGCTACACTGAGTGAACCGCGCGGCGCACCGTTCATTTGAATGTATTCACGTGTGTGCTGAATAACAAACCTTTGATATTTGCCGCCTTTGTTTCCTGTGCTGTTTTCTGGGCTTCCTCAGTATCGCAATAGATTCGATGGCGAGCATTGTGCATTCAGCCATCATGCCACGGTTCTCCGCGTCACGTACCGTTCCATTTTCCGCGCCCCGAAATGCCTAGCAGCACAATTTACATAATAATCCTGCGGAGTCGACCATGTTTTCAAAAGCGTCCCGAGCTTCTTTTAGGACGCTCTCGACTGCATGTATATGAGAAAGAAAGCAAAAAACAAAAACAAACGTTAGTTCGGTTCAGTCTTTAGGTATCTTTAGGTAACGTCAGATCACTAGCTTCATACTGTAAATTAATTCAGTATATGAATAATGTATTTATGTGAACTAGAGCCGCAATTAGTCCCAGGAACTTTTTCACGGGACCGTTTGGTTCCTCCAGACCTTTTGTTGTCTGCGTTTCCATCGCGGTCTAACGTTCCGTGAAGATACGGCAAGATTAGTCCGGTGACATATGACTGCACACGACAAGCCCTTGGCGAGGATATGAAGCCTCGAAGTATGATACAGTCAAACTGATTATCAAAGCTGATTTTAATGATGTAACGATGTAAAGTTCAGCTTGCTGTCAATAAACCGCTGGCCTAGTGGTTAGGATTTTGCCCTCTCAGTGCCGTGGCCCCGGGTTCGAGTCCCGGTCACGGAG